GATGATATTCTCACTGGTCACGATTCTGTAGTAAAGGCTCAAGCTCTCCAAAACGACTTGATTAACTTACTAGCCTTAGGTGGTTTTCAGCTCAGTAAATGGACCTCAAACTGCCCTCAGCTTCTCGAAAGATTTCCCGATGATCAGTGTGACATGCCCAAGGACTTTGACATTAGCCCAGACTCCAACTCCATAAAAGTATTAGGTATACAGTGGATTCCTCAATCGGATGAGTTAACTTATCGTATTTCTCCCCTCAATAAAACAAATTACCAAACGCTCAATCCTCAGCACAGTCGCCTCTCTTTATGATCCTAACGGTTGGGTTACTCCTGTTATCTTCCGCGCAAAGCTTCTCCTACAGAAGCTGTGGCTTCTAAAGTTAGAATGGGACGAACACACCCCTGTTGAAGTGCAGACAGAATGGAACCGCATATCACAGACGAATATGGACTTGCGCAGCACTTGAGCAGCTGCAGGATAGCGATGACCTTCATCATCCGCTAATTGGATTAAAGTGCGTATAGCATGATATGGGCTTGATCTTAACCCGTATGTAACAGTGTTTAAGGCATATGTAAGCAGGGGCTGATCTGGCGAAGAGCGCCAGAGAATGAGCTGGTAACGCCTCTGATCGGGACGTATGAGTATGTTTCTGAACATCATACAAATGTCAGTGCTGAAAACTACGGGATGAGTTCTAAACGACAAGATAATATCGACGATGTCCTGTTGAAGAGCTGGACCAGTGTGTAAACAATCATTTAGGCTGACACCATTTGAGCTTTTACAGCTACCATCAAAAACAGTGCGTAGCTTGTCTGATCCCGACTTAAAGATGCCATGATGAGGGATATAGAAGTGAGGTTTATGAGCAAAAGTACTCGGGTGGCATGGGGACATGTGACCCAGCTTCTGATAATCTGCCATGAAATCAATGTCTTTCACACGGAGATATGGGTCAGCTTGTAACTTCTTTTCAAGATTAAGAAACCTGCGCAATGCTATGGCATGGGTACTTCCTAGCTCGGGCATATTATGTAAAAAGGGTAAAGTTACCGTATATTGACCTGAGGGTTTACGAGTAGTGGTAGTGCGGAATATTTCTTCACACTGATCTTGCAAAGGGGTAGTTTCAACA